TGGTTAACCAAACTGTTCAAAAGAGAGCTCAAAAGGGTGCAGCTACAACAAAGTAGCCCTGCTTTGGGGACAGCAATGAGAAGCCTGTTTCTAATCTGGTTTACATGATTCAGCTATAAAACAAAAAGATTGCGAAAAGTCACCTGGACCTTTGGTGGAAAAAACATAATACAATCCCCTAAAGCTAAAATTCATAATAGAAGTAGGTAGGTGATGTAAATGAGTGAAATAGTCAGGGCATACAAAAATAAATGGTGGTGAGGATTGGGTTATGGAAGGTGTGTGCTTATCCAAAAGTGGAGACTGTTATTCAGCTCTAAGCTTACTGGTTGATAGATCTTCTACTTCTGAAAGGAACCAGAAACCTGAATTTTCATGTGAAAGCTTTCAATTTGTTAACAATGGCAATTATATCATCATTTTTCTAAAACACATTATAGATGAAACAAAGCAAGTCTGAAGGTTATATCTGGCCCACAGTTGTTAGTTAGCAATTTCTGCCCAATGGCAACATGATGATATTTTTGCCTCTGGAGTGAGAACAAAGCAGGGTCTGCTGTTCTGACTCCAGCTAACTGTGATTCTTAAGACATTATTAACTCTTAACAATATCCATTGCTGATTCTCAGCTGTAAGTTCTGCAAGTTTAAAGTGAAGTATGGGATTTATTATCAGCTAACCCAAGAGTCCATAGAGTTGGCTGGAACTTCAGACATTTATTCCAGCCTTCCTGATTTTACAGCTTCCAATAACATTCTCTAAGGAGCTCTGGTAGCGTAAATGATTTATAAATTGGTCTGCGAACTGCAAGGTCAGCAGTTCGAAACTACCAGTTATTCCGTGGGAGAAAGAAGAGGCTTTCTGCTCCCATAAAGATTTGCAGCCTTGGAAACCCTGTACAGGGTCGCTATGAGTCGGAACCGACTCTACGGCACACAACAACAACAATAACATTCTCTAAATATTTTGGTGGGTTAACAGAACTTTGATTAGTAAATGGAAACTATGCAACCCCAATATTGTAGCTCCTAAATGCTTTCCTTATATACCTCCAGTCTTTGGTGTTCCAAGGTCTGTAAAAACCTTTCAATGAAAGAAACTAATATTTCTGGTTTCAACCCTTCTCACTCCCAGCTCCTGGCTTACAGTCCCACTAAGCTCTTTAACCTCAGATGGTGTGGTGATTTAAAAATATTCTTTTTATACAAATTCTTTTATACTCATTTCAAAAGGTAGAGTTTAATTCCCTTCCCTTGAGTGAAAGCTGCACAAAGTATAGTGACTTGCTTCTAATTACTAGAATAGGACAAGTAGTAGTGATTTCTGGGACTAGGTCATAAAAGGCCATATGCTTTCTCCTTACTCTCTCTTGAATGGCTCATTCTGAGGGCTGCCAGAGGTTGAGAATACTCAAGAAGCCCTATGAAGAGATGCATGTATTGAGGAACTGAGGCCTCCTATCAACAGCCATTTGTGTGAGTCATCTTGGGAGTGTATCCTCCAGCTCAAGTGAAACCTTCAGATGATGGCAGCCACCCTGATATTTTGCCTGCAACCTCATAAGAGACCCTCAGCCACAACCACTAGCTATACTGCTACTGAATTCTTTATCAACAGAATCTGTGAAATAAGAAACTTGTTGATTTAAGGTGCAATGCTTGGTGGTAATTTTTTATATGACAAAAGATAACTAATACAGCTGGCATCAATTCCCCATGGTCTTGCCTCATATCTTTCTCTGTCCCTGGTTTAGTAAGGGCAAGAAGGTGGGCTGCAACTCCTCACAGCTGCAGTGACCATACAGCTGATGGGAGTCCGTTGAGTGAGGAAAATGGGGGTTATTTGTAAAATGAAAGATAATTAAATTTAAGGACTTTCCTTATATCCAGACTGGACATTACTTACAATTCCTCATTAACCTTTTGTTGGAATTACCAAATGAATTGGTGAAATCTCCATTTTTTAAAGGATTTCCTTTCAGGCTGAACAAATTCAGATTATCTGGCAAGCAGCTAGGATTTATTTCTTCCCTAAGGCTCCTTTCTCTTACTAAGGATTAAAGTCCAGAGTGAATAGGAAACATGACAAAAATCTGAGGTGTGCATTAATTTCAAATTAAACTCTAGCCCCACAATTTAAAAGTCCCTCCTGGCACACACATGCCAAGAACCAAGATGTCTCAGACATCAGCATCTAACCTCCACTCTCCGGAAGCCACCTTTCAGTCTGAGGGCAATACGTGTTGGCTTTTAACTCACAGATCTGTTCTTTTAGTCAAATTTTGAATGCAAGTGGCCAAATTAGCAACTGTTATATAGTCGGAATCGACTCCACAGCACATAACAACAATATAGTCTAAGTCAAGGGTGGGAAGATACCAGCGTATGTCTCACATAGGTAGTGTATACATTCCCTGTACTGTCTGATTATTCAGGGGTCACGTGAGTCCTCCAGAAGGTTCTGGTGATGCCAATCTCTTTTATCATCTGCTAGGTTCCATGTCGTGGAGGTGGTGGTTATGTGCCATGGAGTCGGTTCCGAATCATAGCGACCCTGTACAGGGTTTCTGCGGCCGTACATATTAACAGGAGCAGAAAGCCTCATCTTTCTCCAATGGAACTGCTGGTAGTTTCAAAGTGCTGATCTTGCGGTTCACAGCAGGATTTGTTACCACTACGCTGTAGCTGGGTACATATGAATTAATTATATATAACTCAAAATCCTCCCTAAAATCTTAATCTTTTTACAAGTGCTTTTGTCTGTGTAAAAATGCACATAGTCCATGAAGAAGTGAGGTTAGATTAGCTTTTGGTGTATATGAGGAATATCACAAAGTAGGTCTTACAGGCAAGGAGTGAAAAAGAATAAACTTGGAGGTTTGGGGGAGTGCTTTGAAAAGGAGAAAAAGTGTAGAAATAAAAAGGCCTCGATCTAACTCTCCTTTGTGTCCAGAATCAGCTCTGCAGGTGCCACCCTAATGAGCCATGGACTAAGCTCTAAACTTATAAAACCCTCAGAAGGTAAAAGTCATGAAAGGTGGGAATGATTCTTTTATATTTACCCTGAGATTTACTGGACTCACTTTGGGGACTCTGGGAGAAAACGAATTACCATGGACCCATGAAGGCATTCAACAGTAAACTTTTTCAATGATGAGACAAGTCAGAGACAGTTACCTTACAGCTTGCATCTTTATTGAACAAATCCTATTAAAATAGCTAAAATACATTGGGTACTTGTCGTGAGTGCATCGTAAAGATCACAGATTACAAAAGCCTGCGTTTTCAGCAGTACACAACTGCAATTCTACTTAAATGCCACAGATGCAGAATACTGTTTTCTTGTTCTATTTACACAGCTGATATACCTATTCAAAGGAGGGTGGGGAGCAATGCACAAGAAACTCAGTCCAATGGGGGAGCGAGGAAAGAACGAAGAAGTGCAGAGCATGCATCATGGGTGTTTAACAGTCAGAAGCAGACAGTTCAGCGCAGGGCCTGTCCTGTCAAAGGAAAAGCTAAAGGACAGTCATATAAAAATTAAGGTGGGCTTTCAGACTGGCTAACACAACAACATTCCATGAGTTGATGGTATTTTCTTATTTTATTTTTGCTTATCCATTTCATTGGGAGCAAGGACAAAAATGTAAACTCTACACCTTGCTTATTAAATATGCCAAAAAAGAGTGCTCTGCCTTTTTAAAAATTTTAATTTATAAAGTTATTTTTCCAACTTACTTTTGGGGAAGTAGTAATTTTCATATTCCTACAAAGATGCCAGTTTTTTTTGGATTATTTTTTCAGAGATCATTTGTCAAAAAGAGTTTGCCCCTTTGTCAAGTATCCTTTCAGACAAAAAGAACCCAGTGAGACACCTAAACATGCCTGTAAAATTATTGCTTTTCTTTCTCTAAGTTAGGCAGGCGAGGCTACAGAAAGAAGGAGATTTGGTAAATAAATTACAGTTTTGTGATTGCTCCCGCTACAGCGATTGCACGTTTAAGAGTGCCAACCCATGAGACATCGTCTCTTACACTCTCTGGTAGCATTTACTCAACCTACAACACTGAAGAAGAAAGCCACACTGAAGACACAAGGAAAACAAGTCAATCCAGTCTAGAGAACAACATTCAGGGAAACAAAGTACCAACACCTTCTTAGAACATGGAAATAAAAAATAACTCCATCAGAGCTACCTCGCCAAGGAGCATGTTGAAAGTCCAAAATAGCACCATTCATCAGTGTCTCAGGTCCTGTGGCAGCATCTCGGTCACTTACCACAAGGAAACAATGAGTTTCAAACTACTTCTATACATCAAAAGAGTACATGGATAAAATATAGAGATATACAGACAATTGATGAACAAAAACTACTAGGTTTGTTACATCTAAATGAAAAAAAAAAAAAAAAATAGGGGGACTCTCAGCCTCTGCCTGAAGCAGTCGGGAGCTGTGTGAGTGAAAAGGCAGAAGTGGACCGGTTATGTGAGAGCAGAGGGAATTTGAGTTATGGAAGACATTGTTGTAGCGAACCAGGCCTGAAGGCCCACCTGTAGGGATTGTAAACGTGGATTCACAGTGTGAAATTCTGAGCATTTTCACTTGAGTCAGAATGATTAAAAACTGGTTTGATGATACCTATTTGTCCACTGTAAAATCTCTAAAGCAAGGCTCAGAGTCCCATAGTTTCTTCTTATACTTGATGATTTACACAGAAAAAAATCCCATATATGATACCATGATCTCATCAATACCCATACACCAGATGTAATACAAATGGAGGTGTTATGATTAAAAAGAATAGAGGTAATTGATTCTCTGGGGAAGGAGTTCACTGTTGCCAAGTGGAGTCAAGCAGGCAGCCGCATTCTCTTCACCCTTCTTCCGATTCACTTCTTTGGGGACAGGAAGTCTCCCCTGAAAAGCAGGTGGGGCCACACACACACACATACAAAAAGAGACAAAGTTAGTATGCTTCTAAAACCATTTTTTAAACACTTTGTTCCTCCCTCATACTTTATATCCTTGAGCTCTTGATGCCTTTTGCAGTTTACATATTAAACACAGTACACCAGAAGAATTCAGAAGTCAGGAACTTCTATAACTTGAAACTAAATAAATATTTTCAGTAGCCCCAGGATGAGCAAATGTAAAAGTCAATACAATTTTACGAAGCCTCACTTATTATACTGATTTTTCATATTAAACATTGGAGATACTTAATTTCTGTATTTAAACTACTCCAGGATTTGAAAGCATACAACACTTTTAGGGCATATGTAAAATATACTATGTACTTCAGTGTTCCAATCTAGGATTTTGATAACATTAAATAGTAGTTATACCAAACAAGAAAATGACAAATTAAAAAATTCATCACAGACATATACATATACACAGTCACATACCAGCAAACACACTAAAGGAGCTAGACAAATTTCCAAAAGTATCTTAAGTTGTTCTTTTCAGCTATGAAGATAATTTCGGTCTTGAAATTTTGCATGCAATCCCAAAATGACTATATATATATATATATATTATATTACTGACTTTAAAATAATGCTTTTATTTCCCCATCAAGCAGCTAGCACAGTTAACAACATGGCAAACTTATGTTTTAGACAAATGAAGAGTTCAGTAGCTGCTAATTCATTCTTACTTAATTGCCACAGGCCAGGAAGGGAAATCTAAAGTTCATAAATGTTATTTCACTATATAACCACATCCTTACCATGAGTGGTCTTAAAATGGTCAATTTCTGTTCAGATTTACTCTATTCAAAGCTGAATATACAGAACATTTGTCTCTTTATTTGAGTCTCAATCTTGTTAATCTTTTACCTTCATGAAAAATACACAACAGAATGGAATGGAGAACTGGGTGGGATTTGTGTCATTTGGGTATGTGTTGGGGTGGGGGTGGGGTTCCTGTGTGGTGCAAATGTTTGATATGCTCAGCTGCTAATTTAAATGTTGGAGGTTTGAGCCCACCTAGAGAAAAAGGTCTGGCAATCTATTTCCAAAGAATCAGTCATTGAAAATCCTACAGAGCACCATTCTATTCTGACATAGATGGCATCACCATAAGTCAGGGTTGACTCAATAGCAACTAATACTAGTACTTTTAGAAAAACAAAACTGTCAAGGCTGATTATTTCAGGTATGAATTGCCCATTTTTTCATTTTCCCTCAACTCTATTGAAATTATTCAAAAATATTCAAGCACTTGTTCATTTATTATTCATATTCTGAATGCGTATGATGGCTTGGACACTCTATTAGACCCTGAGGCTACACAAATTAAAGCAGAAACAAAAACAGTCCCTACCCATCCTACCTTTAATTAGTTTGCTATACGTGAGATACCCACGTAACAGGACACAGGCTAGGCAAAGTGGTAAACCTTACAGACAGGAGGTACTACTGCAGCACCTGCAAGGCATGGACTCCAGCATGCCTTGGGGCAGAGGAGCTCCTGCAGAGGAAAAATACTCTGCATCCTACATTTGGAGACCAGAGATTGCTGGATTTTGTTGTTGCTGTTCAATCCCCTTCTCCCATTAGTGTCCACCATTTAAAAAAAGATAATGGAAGCCTTTCTACCCCCGTTATAGGGATGTCAGACTTCTGTAGCAAGGAGAGGAGGTAATTTGAAGAAAATAAGACACAATGGTGTCTTATTTTTCCAGAAGTCAGATTTACAAGGATCCAGGCAAAAACAATCATATTTCTCTCCATCATATATAATGGGGTTATTGCGCTAGACTGCAAGGTCAGTTTGAATAGCAAGGTCGGCAGTTCAAGTCCACCCAGTCACTCCTCAGAAATCCTAAACAGGGTTGCTATGAGTAGGAACTGACTTGAAAACGCTTAACAACAATGAGAAAAGCACTGAACAAACTGCAAGGTCATCAGTTCAAACTCACTATTTGCTTTTTAGAAATCCTATACAGGGTTACTATGAGTAAC